TAAAAAATAAATTGACCGTATAACTATCAGCAAAATATCTAGGAATGCAATGATTCACTGCAAAAACTATCCAAGTGCCGACGGCGGAAGCAATCATCGTCCTGTTATGTGTAAGCTAAGAGTGAAGCTAGGGAAACTGAAGAAGCCTAAAGCAGCAGCCAAATTGAAATACAACAAACACTTGAGCGACCGTAACTGAAAGAAAAATTTATGAGCAGTGTGAACAGAAGATATAAGGGACACAATGGAAATTGAAAATTAAAATGGTAAGCATTTAAAGAAGCGTTAGTGATATCAGCAAACGGTATCATCCCAAAGTAGATAAGACGAAGCAGAAAAAATCGAATGGATGACTGATGAGATTCTCGACATGATGCAAATGTGACAGAAAACTCTGTCAAGATAAGGAACGGAATAAAGAAAACTACAAAACGAAACAAAGAGCAAATGCGAGCAGGAGAAAGAAGAATGGCTAAAAATATGTACAGAAGAAGAAGGATTGATTACCAAAGACAAAGGCGATATGCATAAATAAGTAAGGGAACTGACAGGACAGAAGACATACGTCAACAGTCTGTTTCAAAACAAAGGATGGAACACTCATATAAGAGAAGGAAAACAACCTTCAGTGCTGTAACGAATATATTGGAGAACTCTTCTACGATGAAAGGGAACAACCAGCAATACACAGAACTACCGACGGAGCTGGAATTCTAAAGACCGAAGTAGAAACTTCACTGGCCATATTGAATTGAAACAAGGCGGCAGGGCCAGACGGAACTGTAACAATATTGCTGACAGTCTTAGATGATTTTGGTATAGACAAGATTATAGAAATAATGAAAAGTGAAATCTACAAGAGTATATCAAGGACCGAGCATTTGAGCAACGCTAAGGTTTTGGAGAGTATACAAACAAGGAGGAAGCTTATGCTTAACATCAGAATGAGGCCACTTAAATTTCCGGTATAACAAAGCGGGTTTAGAGAATCTGATACTCACACGGCGTATAGAGGGAAAGAAAGACAAGAAAAAGTAACGCATGGCATACTTAGCGGGCTTAAGCAAGTTAATGACAGAACAGGGTCTGGTAGAAGTAGCAAAGAGACAAAAATATTTGAGAGATACACGAGATAGGAGGAAGTGAAGAGCCATGTTCGACGAAAGAGAACAAGCATAAATACTACCGACGTAGAAGCTGCACTGGCGATATTGAACAGAAACAAGGCGGCAGGGCCAGACGGAACTGTGACAAAATTGCTGACAGCCTTAGATGAGTCTGTCTATATTTCTGAGATGAGGTATTATGTACATTATTTACACTATTCTGACTATTGTCCTCATCTTTGTCGCCATATTTATCACAACATTTTCAATTTGTACGCTCCGACCTTCTTCTGGTTGGAATTTCGAACTGAACCCTTTATTTCGCTCACTGGAGTAGACTGTTCGGGATGCATGAACAGTTATCTCCTGCTAATTTCCTCTGAAGTTCTCCACATTGGCACATGGCACAGTGGATAAAGGCGTTGGTTAGATCCAGTGACAGGACCCAGAGAGTGTTAGTTCAATACCCGGTTAAGGCAGTGGAGACCTTTCAGAGGGAAATTAGCAGAGGATAACTGATAACTGACATCCATCAAACATGGCACGTGGAACTAGAACAGTCTACTCCAGTGAGCGAAATAAAGGGTTCAGTTCAAAATTCCAACAACCTGAAGGAGGCCGGAGCGTACAACGGCCGAAACGTTGTGATAAATATGGCGACAAAGATCAGGACAATAGTCCGAATAGCTTTAGATGATTTTGGTATAGACAAGATTATAGAAATAATAAGTGAAATCTACAACAGTAATGATATACCGGAAGATCTCAGCAGATTTATTTTTGTAGCACTGCATAAAAAAAATGAAGAAAAAAAAAACATCCGCAATCGAATGTGAACTTCGCCAAACAATCAGCCTCGTGAGCTACGTAACAAAATCCATCATCCATATTCTGATGAATCGTGCGCGTAGTAGAATCAGGTCAAAGACAGAACAAAAACGGTACATGTTCTTTAAAGACACCGGAACAAGGAACGCGATATTCATTCTCAGAAAGAGCAATAGGACGTGAGCCTATAGTCTATAGACTACGCAAAGGCTTTCGATAAACTACGCCACAAAGATCTCTTGGAACTGCTCAGCAACCTTGATATATATATAAGGGTAAACATTAGAATAATCAAGAACTTATAATGGCAGAAAACGGCCTGCATAGGATAGAAAATTAGTTTAGCAGATATACAATAATAGAAAGGGGAGTAAGGCAAAGATCTGTCTTCTCACCGGACTTAGTCAATACATACAGCAAGACAATTCTGAGAGAACTGGAAATCCTGCCAGGATTCATCATTGGCGGTCACAATCATAACAACACATTGCTGATAGCAGACATGGGAAGGAATTTATAAAAACCCCTCCAGACGCTATCGAAGGAGAGCGAGAAGCAGGGACTAAGCATAAACTACAAGAAGTCATGGTCATCAGTAAAAGGATTAGCCGGAAATGCGATTGACAAGCCGAGGAGACTAAAATCAATGTGGTGCGGAGATTTAAATATCTAGGAATTGTTTGACAACAAAGAAAAGAGTGCTGAAATACTACGTGATATTTCTCCTTCTTTACAACAGCGAATGCTGGACACTTTCCTCTCGGATGAAAAAGAGACTCCTGGCAACGGAGATATGGTTCTACAGAAGGATGATAAGGATATCATGGACCGAACATGTGAGCAAGATTAGATTTTTAAGATGATGAAATCAAGGATGAAGCTTATACTTAACATGAGAAAAAGGCAGCAGAAATTTCTGAGACGCGAAATTAGAAAGGAATGTTTGGCGAATCTGATACTCACAAGGCCAATAGAGGGAAAGAGAGACAAGGGAATGCAAAGCATGACATACATAACGGGATTAAGCAAGTGGATGACAGAACAGGGTTTGGGAGATGTAGCAAAAGGATAAAACCTATTGAGAATGACAAGGAATAGGGAAAAGTGGAGAGCCATGATCTCTTACGTCTTGACGGCTCATAAAAGTATTCAAAACCTGTCGACGAAGTTGTGACTAGAAGAAACAATCTCTTCTCGAGCTTTTCGCTGGGATCAAAGTATTGTATCTGTTCTGATCCTTTTTATTTGATTTTCTCTTTCCATTTCTGTCTTCTTTCATTCTTTCTTTGATTTTCTTATGGAAACCAAATATCGTCTTTTCCCCTCTTTCGACGCGAACAAAACGCAATAGTCCAGTTTATGAGGAATCGGCAGAACATAACGGTCGTGCGGAATAAAGATGGCTAGGACATGCACAGTTTTAATAGGATAATATTTTTTAAGCTCAAATATTTAACATGGCAAGAGGGGAATCTTATCCGTACATGATAGCTAAGGAACTTGCAGTGAACTTATTCATTTCTTAAATATTATAATGCATAATAACATTCAAAAAAAAAAGCAGTGACATTGTACATTTTTACGGGTACTACTACTTATAATTATTATTTATATCACTGCAGGCTTTTTAATATTTACTATAGAATAACTGATATTTTCTGATATTGCAAGTGTAGGTCATGGAATTATGAGGAAGTAATTTCCTAAGAGGTTCTTACATCATTGTTTCCTTGACCACACATTGCGACATGTAAATATTCGTTATCTTCATGACCCATTGGCTTAATCGTTTATTTAAACTTTTGTTTTTCTGTGTCTTCAGTGATGTTCACATACGCCCTGCGGTTATTTCAGTAATGCACAAAATGGCTGACAATCGATAGTTGGATTAAAAACAAATTTGGCGATCAATAAATCGAAAAAAAATATGAAATAATCGAATGCTGGGAAAATATGACAGGATAGCAAAAACGAAAGAAATAATGAGCTAGCAATTTTTAAAACAATGACAACAATAATATAATTTAACTTATACAGAGCAATATTGCATTCATACATACACAGACGGAGACGTAAACACAGTTACAATCTTTTAAATTTAACAGGTATATGCATTTGTAGAAATAAGATGACAATATGTTATATCCATGTATATATTCGCATTTATCTATAAATAATAGGTCCTGGGTATGACGATAAACTGCATCCGGCATCGGTTAGGTGAATCTCGATAGCCTGGGAAGGTAGTTTACCTAGGGGAAGGAAAACCCTTATTTCAAACCTCTGCTGCCTTGCGGCTATATCCAGTCACAGAAAAAGGCTTCAAGAGTAAACATCCAGGAAATCATCCGGAGATAAAGTCCCTAAGACAGTTCGCCTTTGTTTCCAACCCGTTCTGGCGACGGCACGGGTCCTAAACTTTGATCTCACCGGTAAGACGTAAGCAGGGGGATGTGATACATGAGGAGGAACATGTCCTCCATGTCACATCGCTCAGGCTTTCATCCAAACACATCACACTGCACCAAAAGATCTTGCACTACACCCGGAGAGGACACTCCAGCTTCTTCTTTGGCGTCGACACAACACGGAGAACTGTAGTTACCGGTTATAAGCTACCACTAGATTAGCGTAGTGCACAGCGCCTAGGGGCGTTCTCGTTCGCATCTCATTGGACAGCTACCGCCCTTCTCATGCTGGACAGCCTCCAGACAGTAAGGTGTTGCACTGCCATGTTTTGCCTTATTCATTAGGTGCATGGAAATTTGGAGACATCCGACAAGCAGACTGCAACCCTCACACCAGGTAACAGCAAGAATTTTAAAAAGAAATCAGCTCTAAAATTGGGCTGTTGGAAAGTCTGCACTGTGCTGACCAGCCTCTCTGATGACCCCCAGAACATTAGCGACTTCCAGAAAACTGCCGGCATCAAGAGCGAGCTCAAGAGGCTTCATGTGGACATTACCACTCTCCAGGAAACGCGTCTGGTTGACTCTATATCGCTTTTAGAAGGACTACTCATTCTTCTGACAGGGCAAGATCTACGACTAACCACGCCAAGAAGGAATGGGCTTCACAGTGATGAACAGCCTGCGGAATACGGTAGAACCAGGGAGAAACGGTTCCAAGAGATTCCTCACCCTTCACCTAAACACTGTCTCTCTCGTCAGCTTGTATGTCCCGACACTCTCTGTTACGTCGGACACCAAAGACGAGTTATATAAGCTGGCAGGCACCATTAGCAGTATCCCCATCAAGGAAATACTTGTTCCCCTGAACGTCTTCAATGCCAGGGTGAGTGCTGATCATGACTCTTGGCCTTCTTGCCTTAGACATTCTGGCGTCGGCAAGTTGAATGATAACAGCCAGAGACTGCTCGAGTTATGCACTTAACTCAATTTGTGCATAGCCAAACTCCTTCTTCAGGACCAAGCCCCAGCACAAGTTGCCATGGAGACATCCACTCTCAAAGCACTGGCACCAGCTGGATCTCATTCTGGTCAGACTAACCGACATTAAAAACGTGTATGAAGAACGTTCTTACCACAGCGCGGACTGCGATACAAACCACTTCTTGATGTATTGCAAGTTCAAGCTCCAGACCAAGAGGTTCAATCGCGGCAAGAAGCATTGGTATCCTCGCATTGATGTCAGCAAGATGAGCCAGTCAGACCTGGTGCAACTGTTTGCCGAGAGGTTTGAGAACAAGCGGGTAACCTCCCGGATCGGAGACTCTGCCAAGGAGAAGTAGGCGACATTTCAGGTCACCCTGCATTGCACTGCCTTAGCCACCTTTCGGAGAAATTCCTCAAAGTCATATGACTAGTTTGAGGCAAAATCCGCCGAAATGGCTCCTATCATTTTGGGCCAATTCGCAGCACTTGCAGAAAAAAGTTGTCACCCAGCAAGAGAAACCTGCAGGTCCTCCGGGCTGCCAGGATCAAAGCTGATCAAACTGCCTGATACTGCGTTAACGAGTACTGGACAGTGTTTAGGGAAACCATCCAGACAGCAGCAATTAGAGGGAAAATCAGAGGGATTCAGTACAGAACAAGACAGCTACACTCAAATCTACCCCCGGGGATGTCATTGCAGACAGGGGGCAACAGATGGAGAGAAGGGTGGAACATTGTTTCGAACTCTACTCCAGGCAGAATAATGTGACGACCGCAGTCTTTGATGCCATTAAGTGCCTGTCGTTCATGGAGGACCTCGAAATCGAACTGAACATAGAGGAGCTTAACAGGGCCATTGACAGCTTAACCTTAGCGAAGTTTCCTGGCGGGGCCGGGATCCGCCCTGACTTGATCAGGCATGCAAGACTTCCATACTGCTCCCATTGCACGAGGTCCTCTACTATGGCTGGAAAGAAGGGGTTGTACCTCAGGATATGAGAGATGTCGAGATATTCACCCTCTGAAAAACAAGAGTGAGTGAAGCAACTGCAAAAACTACAGAAGGATCTCGCTTCCCAGCGTTGTGGGCAAAATATTCGCTCGGGTCATCTTGTTCCACCTGCAGAAACTCGCCGAACGTGTCTGCCTAGAGTCGCAGTGCATTTTCCGAGCTGAAAGATCAACGGTAGAAATGTTGTTCTTCCTCCGCCAGGTCCAGGAAAAGTGCAGAGAACAGCAGATGCCCCTGTACGTCGCTTTTATCGATCTCACCAAGACGTTCGATCTCGTCAGCAGAGAAGGTCTTTTCAGAATTCTGCCCACGATTGGCTGCTCACCCAAGCTGCCGAGTTTGATTGGGTACTTCCACAGCGATATGCAAGGGACTGTGGCGTTCAATGGCAGTACATCTGAGCCCTTCAATATCTGCATGGTTGCGTCCTCTCATCGGGATTTGCTTCGCTCTGTTTCTGAAGGATGCATTCAAGGGAAGTGATTACCGTGCGGAGGAGATCAGATGGCGGGCTGTTCAATCTCGCCTGCCTCAGAGCTCGGACCAAAGCACTTGGGGCTCTTATCAGAGATATGTTCTTTCCCTTCGATGCAGTGGTAGTGACTCACATCGACTGTGAACTTCAGTACCTGATGAACCGTTTCTCCCAGGCCTGAAGAGACTTCGGGCTGACCATCAGCCTGACAAAGACAAACATCCTAGGACAAGGTACCGAAATACCAGCCAGTCATCACCACTGATGACTATGAGCTCGATGCGGTCCATCAGTTCGGGTACCTTGGCTCCACCATCACTGAAAATCTCTCCTTAGACGCAGAAATTGACAAGAGAATCGGGAAAGAAAGCTAAAACTATTGCGCGCCTCATAAAACATATGTAGACCAATCCCAAGCTGTCGGTGAAGGCAGTGTATAACGACTGAGTTATTAGCACACTGCTATATGGCAGCGAGGCTTGCACCACGTACCCCAGGCAAGAAAGGCGTCTGAACACCCTTCACATGAGAAGCATCCGCCGTGGGAAGAGCGTGGTAAGATAAAGTGTCAAACACTGATGTCGAGTCTCGAGCAGGTTGTCGCAGCATGATCACACTGCTCAGACGGCGCAGACTACGTTGGTAAGGCCCCGTGCACCGCATGCCAGACGGCTGCATCCACAAACAGCTCAAGCCAGGGGAGGTGAAGCTGACACAAGTCGCCACGGAAAGGCGGGCCCGCAGAAAGACAAGTGACATCTGCAACAGACCAGATTACATGTCGCTATATCGAGTCTGGTTTATTATCTCTCCGTCACCGAGACTTGTGTCATAGCGTGTATATATATATATATATATATATATATATATATATCGACGCGTGCTCGAGTGCTTAGAAGGTTAGCTTTCTGTTCATGAGAACCGAGTTTGAATCTCACCACGGTTGATTTGGCAAGAAAGAGATTTTTGATGTAACTGGTCTGGAGAGGGACGATCCCAGCGTGTTGCATCTTTGGAAAGTGTGTGAAAACGATACCACGGGTTGACCCAAAACTTATGCGTGAAATTTTGTAGACGCAACAAGGTGGCCGTCGACAGCTGTGCTAGCACGAAGTCACAAGTCATCGTGACCGAGGGTTTGAATGTGCTGGACTTGTTCAGAGTAATTATATATATATATATATATATATATATATATATATAATTATTTATTCGAAAATTATAACATACATATGTTATAAGATCACTACAAAAATAGCCATTTTGTTTCAACACCTCTGGTGTGTTATAAAGTGATGGTGTTGAATGTAGAATAAAGGGCTTTAAAATGTTCAAATCAATTAACCATCCCTCGCAAGGGGAAACGTTGTTTCATAAGCTGGAATGACCAATCAAAATACAAGTATACGAGAATTCAAAATATTGACAACAAACTGAGGTTATAATAACTATTTAATGCCTTAATGTTGGGGTTAGATTAAAATAGAATTTATTCTAACTAATAAATATTAAATTATCCGATAAAGTTTGTAATTAAAATTACCCATTTAAAAATTTAAATTTAACTTCTATTAAGTTTAAAATTATAAAATTATTGAGGAAAAAAGATAAATACATATGTTATTCTATTTATTTTGTTTTTATTGAAATTAAGTTGAAATAAACGTTAAGATCAACTGTTGGTCTGAGCATCATGGCAACATAGATACATTTGAATTCTAAACATTGGCAGGACACGATGACATATTGCAAATGACAATACATACACAATCAAATTATAATACATAAGCACGCAGACGTATTTAGATATACACACACACACAAAAGTGATGAGACAGGAATATCTCCACGATCCTTTACAAAAAAACAACAAAAAAAAACTACATACACAATTATATTTGCTCTACGCTGTATTGAGCACTCTTCTAAGAATAGTTATTGTTGGTTATTGAATTTATTCCGTATATATATATATATATATATATATATATATATATATATATATATATATATATATATAGGTTATCTATATTTCATTCATTGGTGAATATTAATACCATAGATCAATCAATATCCATTGAAATGTTCAGAGCAGAAATCGTCTCAGTGATACATTGCTATACTGTTCTTTGTTTAGTCGTATAAACATCGACATCCGCTTGCGTTCACTTGATCAAAAGAGACACACATATGCCCCGTGGTTACATCTGTTATATGCAACGTGGCTGACAAGTGAAAGCTGGATTAACTTTTGATTTGTCGATCGATATATTGAATTAAAAAAAAATGAATCCATCAGAACAGTAGAAACACCAAGAAAAATATTAAACTTTTAGAATAGTATCAACAAGATTGAACATTCACAAGACACACAGACACGGACGGAACACTACCGATATGCACATATACACCAGCAAGTGCACGTTAAAAGACGTAATACTCTAAACTAATTTTAAAAGAAAAAAAGAAATCTCTTGCTACAGCGAAAAAAAGAAAAAAAAAAGAAAATGGCTGTTTAAGTATTCTTTCACGTGACTCCAAAGATCATCTTCAAGCCGTTCATCTGACTTTCTTAGTTGTGGAATATTAACAGGAAGGATTATACCCTTCTATGAACAGTCACGTCCATGGTAAACTATCGGCAACACGATGACGCTCATAACATGCGACATATTTTATCGTTAAAATATTTTTTAATTAATAAATCTCTTATAAAAAGAAAACGTCATCAGCAACAGTGATTCAGACCTTAGTCTTACATTATTATTTATTTTTATTGGTGACGTACTAAGATATGATTAGTAATCGGTACTATTACGCACGATTCCAAGAAAGGCTTCTGGTTACCGAAAACTAATATTTTAGCGATTTCGAATATACCTGGGTGTCCATAGATTATAGCATTTTATCAAAGTTTACGGCTTTTCGTACATTTTCTTCCTCATTTTATTTGAATCGATATCTCATAGACAAAACCTTACAAGCCTGACGCTACACTATTGCTATTTCCATAACATTTTTTACAACGACTCCAGTAACCCATTAACGTCCTAGGGGTACCACATGTGCTGCGGCTGTAGCAGTAATAGTGTGTTTTGCGCAAAATATAATTATTTGACACTGGAACTGTTGTTCAAATTTTGTTGTCATCATCACAACGTTTCCACTTTTCTTCCCACCGGCATTCATCAGAGAATTTGGAATTGAATCCTTTCCTTTATATACGGGGATGTATTATTCTCACTTCCGCTGAACATGTCAACGAATATCTCTCCAAAACTAAAATAATCTATTAAATTTAGTCTTCAGTGATTTTCAAAGAATTTTCAATAATGTCTTTGCAAAAAGTGGTTTGCGTTGGCTGTTATACACCCTTGTGCAAATTAATTGAAAAAAAAAGTATAATTCCGTAATTATTTACATTTTTTTGTATTTTTCTAATGAAACATGACCCAGTGCACAAGTTAGTTCTTCGTATTTCCATTCCATGAAGTCGTTCCTTGCAGATTGAACACAGATTCCCAATTGGATTTAAACCGGGAGAGTTTCCGGGTCAGTCTACAGTACTTTGATTTGCTCACTGTTAAAACTAACCAGTGTGCTTTTGCAGCGAGCAATTTTCGTACACTTCCTTGGATTAACTTCCATCGCAGACAATGGACGTAGCCCAACTAATCGACAGTCTGTCAAATAGTGTGGACGTGATAAAAATCTGGTGCAATCACGGATGATGCAATATTTTTCAAGGCCAAACAAATTTCATCATACACCCTGAAAAGAGATTCATATTAGTGTACACCACAGCAAATGAGCTAATCTGGGGAACAAATAGAAATCAATTACACTCTGTCACCCCAGTGGGTCTAAAATTGACCATATGGTGAAGGAAAGGAAACTAAACTGGTTGTTTCAATTACTTTAATCAATAATGTATTATTTGCATTTCCACTGATCATATCTCGGAATATCTCACAGACACTAAAACAAAGTATTAAACACTCATAATAGTTAATATTTTGTTCAACGCTCTATGAAAAAATACACAGAGGATTGAATTTTATGTGCAGCCCTAAATTTCTTAGATCGAAATCTTGTGTGCGATCGAAGAAATCAGAAATACAAACTACGCCATCTAAAAACATATCGCCATATTTTGTTAACTTAAAAATATATAACAGAAAATAAAGTAGATGAATTCTATCTCACTTTCACACACAAACACCCACACACACGCACACACACACATATATATACAGTAGCGGCCATAATATAAGGAACGGAAACAACAAAGACATAAATATGTGTATTACTTAAAAAGTAATGCATGATGGTGTTTATCAATCCACCCACGGGGATCGAATGGGGCACAAGGCCTTTTTAATGTAGGTATGTCTGAGCCGGTAGGCCCAGCCAAAAATAAAACCCATCTAAACCCCTCCAAGCGGGCTAGTTCCGTCAACGTCCCCCAACGAAACCCCACCCTTCGGCAGAGCTTCGTCCGGGTTCCTCTCTGCAAGCAAAGAGTTCGACAGACACCCGACCCGGCAGCTCACAAAGCGCAGATACTACACTATTTTGACAGAATAAAGATTAGGGTGAAATGCATAAATATTATACAAAGTTACAAAAATTTACATAAAAGTTTTTTTTTTGTATAATATATTATGGCCGCTACTGTATATTCAGTTGCATGGATATGAGTTTGTGACCCTGGATTTCATCCATTTGTCGATTATAAGACAGTCTGCGGCCAATCTCGTATCATTTATATGGGTTTGTTTTAGTGAACTAAAATGTGCACACCTCTATATATGTGTATGTGCGAGAGTCATCTCAAACGGATAAAGAAGAAAATTTCCCCCTCCCACCAACAAACATAACCAAAGACAAAGAAGCAGAAATAGGATTCATTTTTTTTAAAAATCAACCAGTTTGTCGGGTGAACGTTAGGGTCAAAAACTCATATCCATAGAACTAA